GCTCCACCAGAGCTGGACTTGGGATAAGGGATGGAGGCACAGGATACAGGGAATGGCTTTAAACTGGAACTGGGATTTAGATGGGAAATTGGGGAAGAAGTTTTTCCCTGGGAGGGTGTAAGGCCCTGGCACAGCTGGGGCTGACCCTGGATCCCTGGCAGTGCCCAAGGCCAGGCTGGACACTGGGGCTGGAGCAGCTGGGACAGTGGGAGGGGTCCCTGCCATGGCAGGGGTGGCACTGGATGGGATTTAAGGTCCCTTCCCACCCAAACCAGGCTGGAATTTGGGATTTGCAAAGTTATGAGTTAAAGGTGGGGGCAGAGAATTAGTAGCTAATGTAGAAGGAGAAGCATTTGGTAAATAGGGTTCCTAAAAGGAGACATGGAGGAGATAAAAAGGAGTGAAGTGCCCGAGGAAAGTGAACTTGCAGTTTGTTTCCGTCATTTGAGGAAATAAAACTCAACAGGATTTGGAATGCCAGCAGAGTTTGCAGAAAGCAACCACTGGTTTTCAAGCTGGAGAATCTTTCAGAGTCTCAATCTGAGTTACATCAGCAAAAATTTTATGAGTTTCTCAATTTTGAGTTTATATGATTCAGAAACTGTCCCAAAATGAAGGAATCCACTCGGGAAGGATCAGAACAATATTTAAAAAGTCATTGCAGAATTCAGGAAATCCTTTTTTTTCATAGGGAAAATTTGTAAATAAATACAGATCTGACAGCATTGAGGTAGTGTCTGTGTGTTAAATCAATTTCTAGAAGAAGTAGAAAATAAATGTAAAATATGGTCCAAAGTGCAGAAGGTTCCCCAATACATTTGAAAATAGTTACACTGGAGCAACTGTTGAGAAAATGAAGTTTTTCCCTAGTTCTAATGAAGCTTGGATTTATACTCAGTTAAAAGGTGCTGCCACTGCATGTCCATACAAAGGCAGTGGCTTATGGGAGGTTGATCCTTCTTTAAATAAAAATCAAGCTCTGTACTGGATGGGATACCCTAGAAATAGTTATTCTGAACTGGCTGGAATATTCTCTCTATCCTGATATCCTTGTCAGAAAAGTAGCCAGTTCCTGAAACTTTATTGTATGGAAGCCTCCCCAAAATACATATTAATATTCTCTGCCTCCTCTCCCAAGGTGATCTCCTTATTGCCTGGAGCATGAAAATTGATTATCTTTAATATGATTTTAGTTTGCATTATAACAGGCTTCAATAGGGAATGTAAAATATCCAGATTTCCTTAAATCCTACCATCTTGGGCTTTGGTGGTGGATCCACAAGTTAGGTGTTTGCACTATAAAGGAAAGTTTCTCTGTGCTGTTTCAAACTTTGCTGCACTGGAACTTGATGAAGTGTCACGTATTCCTGTTTATAAATGAGGTGAAAAAGGTGCTTCTGACCAGTGTTCACTCTGCCCTCAGAATTATGAAAATTTTATTCAAATCTCTGACCCTTCTGCTGCCCAAATTTGGATCTTTGTCGCTTCAAGTACCATTTCAAGCACTTGGATTTCAGTCCTTCAGCAATGAGGGACAGTCCCTTGTTAGATGTGTCTAATTTCCTGCCTAGAAGAATTCCAGCATTCAGCGATGACACATCCAGTCTAGTTCACTAATACTGAAGCTTGTGAATGAATTTTCATAACCCTAATCCAGTAAGAAGGTCCAAAATTTCTAAAACTTTTTCAAGTCATGTCCAATATCTTTGTTTTTCATTCCAGGCATTTTCTCTCAGTCTTCATTTTACTTAAGCCTGCTGCTTATAAGGCATTGCATTTGCTTTCAGTTCTTTACTTTATTTGTTATTAATTGCCATTTAATGTGGCATTTTCAGGGACAGGATGATATTTCCCCAGGACTGGAACATCTGTCTTCCAGCACCAGCACGTGAATTTGCTTACAAGTAAACCAAGGCTTGAACCAACACATGAACTTTTCAATCAAAGATTTTGATGGGGTGGGATGGAAAAACTGAAAAGGAAGGGTTTTATTAAATGCCTTGAGATGTCAATTCACAACTATTTGAGCCTGAATTAAATTCCTTGTTGAGGACTAACCTCTGGAAGCGTCTCCTTTCTGCAACATCTGCTGTGGAGGAGAGGCTTGGGCACTGGAGCTGGAAGGACCCTCTCGCCAGGCAGAGAGACAAACAGATGGAGCCTGGGGAGGATGCAGGATTGCAAATCACTCTGATTTGGACCTCACTTGTAGATCCTTAATTTCCCCCCTGAGAAAATTGTCAGATTGGAGCAGAGGCATAAAATTTTTCTGCCTTTGTGTGTATGTGCCTTACTGAGTCAGAGGCTGGCCTGGAGCACTTCCTCTGCTCCTCCGGCCTCTCTTCAGCTGCAGAGAGCCCCAGCAATGTCACCTGGTGTGAGTTCACTTCAACCAGTAAATAAGGCTTGCCTTGCACTCTTAGAATCACCAGGAAAAACTGAAAAAAAAGAGAGCAGGCTGAACGAAACCAGAAACTGTGGTTGCCTTTGCCAAGACGCTTGTGTTTTCTCAACAGCAGGGATGTGTCTTGCAAATTTAAATCTGGAAATGTTCCTGTCCATGCAGAGCTGGGCACGTTATGTGCTTTAATTGGCCCTGAAGGAGAGTGTGTGTGTGTGTGAAAACACTCCCAGTCCGGTTTCTTAACAGGATTTGAATAATAGAAGTAATCTCTGACACGAAACTTTTGTTTGCAGCATACTGAGAGCTGGTCTCTGTGTTTTAATTGAAATTAAAGTGAAATTTAAGTGAAATGCTGGGAAACACCTGGGTCACTGGAAATCACTGGGAAATTGAGCTTGATGGGTGTATGAGTTAAATTTTGATGGCTTGGGTTGTGGTCTGTATGTAAGAAAAGAGGTCCAAGGGTTGTTCTAAAGATGTGCCATTTTCTGGGGCTCACCCCGCAGTCTGGGTCAGAGCAGTTGAGGCGTTTCAAACCTGCATAATTCTTTAAATTCAAGGGAATTCAGGTAAAAATATATACATCTTAACTTGCCATTATCTTTGAAATATTATGTAACCCTCACTAATTAAATCTTGTTTCTCTCGCTCTTCCCCCAAAATATTCTCTAAATTTACTTGATACCACTTTTGACGTGGAAGCACAGAGTCATCTCTATTGAGAAAAACAAAGAGTAAAGCATGAGTTAGGATATATTGAGCAGGAATACAAGTGGTTCCTGGAGAGGAAGGAAGTTGGGTGGTTCGAGGTGTAGAATTACTGGTAAGTTAAGAATATGTATTTTAGTAGGCAGAGCATTTTCAGTACTTATGAAGAAGCTTGGGTTCGGGAGAAATATGATTTCCTGTAATCAAGGTGCTGGGAGTTGTTTGCCAGCTACTAATGCCTTTAGGGAAATCTCGTAGCAAAGCGTGTAAATGAAAGGGATATTAGCAGAGATTGGCTGCATTTTCTTTAGGGCAAAACTGTAAAAACTTATGGTGTTTCATATGCCCTGCTTCAGGTGCTTTAGTTATCTCCTGGCTGCTCTATTCCAGAAGTTGTTGGAAAATGTTTTGACAAATATTGGTGAAGCTAACCCAGTGTAAATTTTATCTGTTGTGGTACAGAGAAATTTGTGTGGTAAAAAAAAACTTATAAATGTTAAATAAGAGGAATTTTGGGTCAATAAGGCCACTGATAAATCTCCTGTTAAATTAAGTGTGCCTGGAGTCCTATATTTAGTGAAGCTATTGCCAAATTCCAGCAAGGCTCAAGCATTTCCAATAATTATTACGGCAAAATTTACAGCATATATTTTTTTCCTATTGACATATTAAGAATATTTGTGAGAGAACACATCCTTCA